TTTTCATTTCTTGTTGCAACACCTGTTGGCCATTTTGGATTTGCTGGAGCAAATTGAGCATCGTTTCTTCCATTTTAGCGGCAGCAGATCTTGTTACAGGCATACACAAGCACAAGCACTTAATTTAATCTTACTTTTAATTAATTTAATTAATCCCACTTCTGCCACCAATGTAACGTGATTTATAAATTCGGGTTCGATTTATATCAATATTTATTAAACAGAACTAAAACACTATAAAATCCGTACAATTTATATCGATTATTTATATCACTCACAAATTTATATCGATTATTTATATCACTCACACTTCGCAATTTATCTTTCCGTGCTCGATGTTTACGTACTCGTTCGGTAGTAGACTGCCGCGATGTTCGGTCCGCAACCATTTATACACGCAAGCAATGTAAGTCCCGAACATTCTCGAATACGCGTAGAAAATTCCAGAGCGCCAAAGGCGACGTCATGTCTGGAGCATTTCCGTTACATTATCTATACATATAAATAGAAATGAATGTTTGTCCGTCTGTACGTCACTCACGCCTGTCTAAACCGTTCATCCGGTTGTGATCACACTTTGGGGAATAGTTGGCGTATACCCGCGAAAGTTTCTGAGTTAGTAAAACACTTTCCGAAATTCCCACGGGAATGGGAACAAGAAGCAGAACGTAATTTCGTTGAAGCCGTTAACGTGTAGTTACTCCGAAAGAAATTTCTGAAGTTTGCACGGCAACGGGAATGGGGTACGAAAATAGCGGGATTAGCCAAATGCGTTTCGGAGGGACTGTTAGTATTACATAAACCGAAATTTGTTGATTTTGTTTTTTCTGATTTGTACAGACACAAAGAAATAAAAAAAATACTTTCCCATTTTGCCACTTTTTTAGTTCTACAATAAAATTTTTCGTTTCGAAGAAATCATCATCAACTTCATTTTTTTATATGACCCGTAAAAAGTGCATACTGTATTGAGTAGATTTTTTTAACGATGTACGGCACACAAAAAACCACAGTTAGAAACTGTTGGTTTCAACAGGGTATTCAACCCGCGCCCTAATCGTGCGAGAATACGTATAGGAGAAATTGTTCATTATCCAGGAAATTTGTTTGACCAGAAAATTTTTGCCAAAGCCATCCTCAAAGCCTCCAACCCCAGACTAGGTTTCCAATTTCTTCGACAATCTCGTGCGTAAACATAACGTCCCAGATCCCTTCTCCTCAAGTATTCTCAATTCTCGCCGAACGAAATATTAAATCTTAAATAGAAACCGCCTTTTCTTTAATCAATTCGCTGGTTTTAGGATCTCGCAACCCATCTTTTCCCATTTAATTTTAATTAAATTTAATTCCTTTCGCGAATCCTGCGTTCACAACAGGAGCCAGTTATCTGTCATCCTCTGAAATTTGAGATGTCATTCCTTAACACTGTTAATTTCAACAAAAAATTCCCGTTTCAAATGAGAGAGAGAAAGTTGTATACTAAGTAATAATTTTCTAACTTGCCATTTATTGGTCATACTGACCTTATTTAATTTACTATGTGATTTAAAAATGTGCACCTTTTCGAATTTTTCCCCCAATTCCTGAGATCAGGTTTAATTGCTTTTTGCACGCCAGTAGATAAGTAACACCGAACTGAGCGCAGTTTGACCTTGAGATATGGGCATGCGCCAAGTTCAAGGTCATTCGATTCGACTTTGTCTGTCGACGGAAAAAGGTTGGTTGAGCAGAAACAAACCTGACTCCGTTATTAAACGGACCCATTTGTACTTGAAAATATAGAACAGATCTGACTGTAATGAACTGACCTGGTGCTGTTTAATTGACCTTTATTGACACATACACGTATCTTTTTACCTAAATGGCACTCACATTTTACGTGTTGGGTCTATAAAGCATAAGATGTAGAATTTAGTTTCATTACTTTTTTTTCCAAAATTGTGAAACTAAATTTTCCGTTTGTACCTTGGCAAAGGTAGCAAATTTTCCATTCGTAAATAAGATAGATACGTCAATTAAAACTTAGATTTTAATAACGTCTCTTTTGCGTTCAATTTATATCAAAATGGTTTAAGCAAGAACGGACCGAGTGTTTTCATTGGATCGCGCTACAGACATATTGTATTAACAATGTACAGAACATTCAATTTTAGGTTATGTTACTCCAGTTTCTCAAGTGCTTTGCAAATTCCCACTTGCAATTCAGATTAAGCAATTTCCAATATGAACAGTAATGTAATAAGGTCAGTTGGTAGTAATGGTATCATGGCGATATATACAATTGAATATTGCTACGCGGAATTGAATTTAAAAAATGTCAATAGAAGCTTTATTATCAAGCTATACATGTTGATACAGGTAATAATGTAACAAAACTCCACATCTAATTACCCAATGCAAACGAACTTTATTTAAAGCTCCATAATGAATTTGAATTACATTCCACCGAACAAATTTTAATGACATGCAATTAAATAAAATTTTAGGCAAACATTTATCGGGGGTAAATACGCAAGGGTTTGATTTTTAATCGGATAATTTTATTTTTACACGAAAGCTTTGTTGCAACGGAAAAAAATCGAGATCAAAAGTGTGATAGAGGCGATACTATCTTATACGTTTGATCAACTGTTTTTTCCAGGAGGCCACAAAATTTGAGTGAATTTAAAAATAAAATTATCCTGGTTTAAAATCAAGATCGAGTGTATTTCAGCGAGATTAATACAACACATAAATTTCACAAACACTTTATACCTCGCTTTATACTTTACGCATTCCTTCACGCATTTTTATCGCTGATAAAAAGCTACCTACCTTGCTTTTAAACGCTGATAAAAAGTTACCTAGCTTTTAATCACTTATCAAATCATCTGATTGGTTAGACTTTGAAATAATCGCCACGCTGATTGGTCGAATATTAATGGAGTAAAAATTATTCCCAATAACCAATTAAAGGCTGAATGTAAATAACAAAGTGATAATTCATGTAGTTTTTTTTTAATATATAATAAATTAATAACCATCAAGCACCTGCATAGTAAGCACCTTGTGGTTTATTGGTGACAATACTTTTTCTTCTAATATTGTGCTAAACAGGCCCGTTTAGAGGGTTCAGTTGTCCAATGCCTTATGCTAATATGATCATGACTTAAAAAGTACCCGGTATTAGGAAGGGTAACAATCCTGAACACAAATCTAACTAGAATTTGGATAAGAGGTGATGAAAATAAAACCCACAAATTGAGCGTGAAAATGAAACTTCGATGTTTAGGGTATGCATCAATCTCATACCCACACTACACTAATCGTAAGCCGTATCGGAATTGATGGATAGATATCTCTATAACGTTGCCTCTAAATCTACCTCACATTAATATCTGTCACATCCGTAGATTTTGCGCTGTATTAAGATTAATAAACCTTATTGTTTGATAGTTGCAATCCCTTTGCGACAAATTAATTTAATGTACCCTCCAACGGCCTCAATCGGCATCGCATACTTCTCAGCCTCTGCAGACAGATATTAGCAAACATTTTATAAAGGCGGCGTGTTGGTATACAACACCTCGCAGTGTAAGCATATTAAGTTAGGTGCTCGAAGGAATTATTAATAATCCTGTTACTAAATTATATCCACTGTTAGTAAGCTTGAGTAGGTTTATAATACAGAATACGCACTCCTTGAATCGTGCACGCATTACGATGGCATCCAACAGTGGTCTGGTTTCGGATTTCCTATACGTACCTATTGGAATGTATGCTGGCATTAATGTTATTTATTTGCTGGTATAATATGGGATAATGTGCCTAATGTGAGGTGCAATATTACCTAATTAGTTGGGAAAGGGTACTTGATTTCTGTTTTCGATACAAATAAAAAACTCATGCATTGCAGTCATAGTCTCGACTTTTATACCTAAGTAAAACATATAACGATCTGCTAGATCATGTAATAAACCTTTTAACCAACAAAAAATCACAGAGAACTAATATGCTATGCTTTTCATTTAAATTAAATCCCTTATAATAGTTTCGGGAAAACGAATCTCTTGTTTGCCTTCCATTCGAATTTAATTGTTCACGTTCTCTAACTTAAAGCTTTTACTTTAGCAAGCAAGATTTTTTAATTACTGTTAATTACTGTACTTTTCACAACTTTATAAAATGGAGGGCCCCTTCATTGCATTCAGAACTCAAATTTTGGTTCATCGAAGCAATCCTTTTCCAAAATTGGTCACTGTTTGCTACTGAAAATGTGCTGACTTTAATCAGTGTTTATTATCTGCCACAATCACGAACCTCTAAAAAGACACGTTTGACATTATAATATGTAAAGCAGATATAAAAAGTTTAATGTGTATCGCATTACAAGGATCGATATCTTTTAATGATCCTGCCTTCATATGCAATGAAACCAGTCGCTTAATGAAGCTTTCAACAAGCACCCTTTGACCCTTATTTAACGCCATTATCTACGTCTTCGTTCAACAAATACTGCAAAGGTACACGTACGCAATTACCTTTCAATATCGATACTCTAATGTCGACTGCAAACTTTAAATCATAGAATAGAATATATAGTTTTATGTGCAATGTAAGAATCTACAATTTCAAGGAAATGCCAGGCAAAAAACCTCAATTTTCTTTGATTAACTAATAGCACATCAGATGTTGTGTAAGAAAACATCAAATTGATAACGTTGGAATTTTATTTGTGAAACATCCTGTACTATGTTTTGTAAAATCCCCTCGTTAGATGTCGCCTGTCGTCGTCCCCATCCTTTATTTGCAATCCCTTCTACATCTCCCACCTTTTTGTGTGTCCTATAAAAGGTGTTTGTAAAGTACCAGAGAGCACTTCCGATTAATTCCGTTCCATGTTAAAATCATTCCCCGAACCAGAACCAGACCCGATTCCTGCCCGTTTCGAAAACCTGATATCCGTTTAAGTTTATTTTATTTTCCGTTTTAATTCCACCAGAGCTTTTCGTTTTAGTTTCATTATTTTCCCAGACCTATTAATTTGATAATTACTTTTAGTTTTGCCGTTTTACTCACCTGTTCCCGGGAATATAATCCTGGTAGGGTAAATCCCTGCGGGCTTATAAAACCGGACACAGAACTAGTTCTTTGTATTCTTGCCTTCGGTCGGTCGACCGGACTGGAATCCAAAGAGCTTCCCTTCCGTGTTTGCCGTCTGATTCCACCGACTTTGAGTAGAGGTTGTTGGAACCGGGTGGAAGTTCCTCTGTAAGGGCCGTCGCCAGGTAAATCCTTGCCGACCTTATTCGAGAGCTATTACCTCCTGTTCAAGTCATCTCAGGTCGGGTTATTGCTTTGCTGAAAAGCACCTGAAATATAACTGGTGGAGAAAACTACCTATACTTCCTTTACCTGATATCTCCTCGAGCCTTGATAAGCATCCGGGCTTAGGTGGTAATAACTCTTTATCATTACAGCGAACTAGTAGCACTTGCCACATCCACCGCACGTGCCCAGTTGGGGAAAAGAAAACGCCGTACCAGACCCAAGGTCAACCGGGGATTTGACAGACGGTGGAGGTGTCTCCATACCCAACATCGGGATTTAAATATTTGAATTTTTTTATTTATTTTATTTTATTAATTAAACAATTGCAATCAATACGAATTTCGATCTCTGGCCAGCCGGCTAGAGCTACCCGAAGGCAGAACCCCGTTCTGTTTACAGTAGCTAGCGTCTACTAGAAAACGGGTTTCTAAAGAAATGTCATTGACGTGGTTCATTGGCGTAAAATAAAAAATAATCCGTGTTATGCTTTTCCGCTCTAACAAGGAAGAAAACGTAGAGAGCTTTTGGTGGTGCCTTTATTCCCAGAAAATATAGATAAATGTATCCGTTTCGTTTCCTTTGTAATTACTGTAATTAGCATAGGACGTACGGCAATTATTTTGTATTACTTTCTTGCAGATTTAATAGAGTGTTTGCTTTTACAGATTTGAATTTGCAAGACCTACGCAAGGTTTAAAAAAATAAGTAAAATAACAGTTGCGGTAAGTTCATTGAGAATGTAGCTTCAATTACGTTGATAGGAATTGCAAGATTAGTAGAAAGTGTTAATACAAGTTAGGGCATATGGCAGTTTTCGTCGCGTCGGGTAAAATGTTCCATAGGTGTGGGTACTTTCATTTGGGATATAAAGGATGTTTAGATAATTTAGGATATCTGGGAGATTTTTTTGTACGTAGTTAGAGTGCTATGTATCTTTTTACATGTATTTTGTGTTTTAACGATTTGCAGGAAGATAGAAAATTTAGTTACGATGATTGTAATATTGTACGATGGGTCGGGAGTTTTATTTGTTTTATGTGAGGGCGCAATATATGTTGAATTTGTTTAAAATGGTACTTTGTCGCTATCTTATTTTGCATAAATGCCAAATGATTATTTTTCATGACTCCTGAATATTGAATTTTGATATGAAAACTGTTAGGTTTCCAAATCTCTAACTCCATGATACAATCCAAAGCCGGGTGCGTAAACTCAAACCACGAAAATAACCCTGCACATACTCCTATATATTACAATGAGACAGGTTATGTCCTGGCCAAAATCGCAGGCCTCTGAGCTCTGTCCATATTCTTCGTGCCGTGACCCCGTAAATGTCGGCCACCGTTAAATAACAATCTTAGGACCGGTCTCTCGAGCGTTTTCTGGTGCGGTGCCCCAGACAATGATTTTTTAGGGTGGTGCACATGAGTGTAGCACACACCGCACGGAGTACTTGGGTGCATTGCTCAACATGTAACTTGACCATAAATAACCGTGTTGTTTGCGTATTACGTATACAAATATCGATATCAATATCCACCGCTGCCATTGTGGTTTTAAACCGCAAAGCACGTCATCAAAGATCGTACGAGAAAGTAAATGAGTACATACGAGAGTACATATCCCTGGAAGATTTTCAAGAGCTCTATTTTTCTTCCTTGTAATCAACAAAGTCCCTAGAGCTATTCTGGTATGATTAAGAGAGGACAACCCTGATTTGATTATTGATTTTATTGTTTTGTTGTTCTCTTCATTTCTTGCGGTTTATTCATGTTGATCGTTTCTTAGAGCGACACATAGGCACACGGGACAATTCGATATTCTTGTCTCGATCTTTCGTACGGTTTTTGTATAGTTGGCCGTAGGTACAGTTTTTTTTTTGGTCGTTTTGATATTAGCTTTTTGCTGAAATTCTATAATTCGGTAGTTTGCTCACATAACATTATTATACGTCATGAATTTCGCTCTGTATAGACATTGTACATCTGATATTGAATTTGGTGTTTTATTACATTTGTTCGCAATATGGCCGAATTCCTTACAAGTAAAACATCTTATTCTGGCATTTGATTAAAAAATTCTGTGAACATCTCCCTCATATTGGATCACAAGAGAGTCAGGCATTTTTTCTGCGTCGTCGGGCAATATTCATACATGTCTTCTAAAGCAGAAGACATGCCTGTATTCTTCAACCCTCATTCCAGCATTAATAAAAGAAACTTGAGACATTTCCCCATTTGCATCAATTTTGAAATGTTTCATAATTTTTCTAAACTTATCGTTTTTACATTATTCTAAAACTGTGTGCACGTTTCTGAAATATTTCTAAAATTCTTTAAAAATTCTCCCAAACATTCCAAAATTTCTATAATTTCGCACATATTTGGAATGTTTATGAAGCGTTTCCAATATCTCCGAAACATTTTCTGAAGAATTTCCAAAATTCTTTAATTCTAACTTCTCCTGCACTTTTAACACTCCTGAAACATAGTTCTATGTTACAAAATTTCGTACACAAATATTTCCAAAATTTTAAAAAATGTACTAAAACTTCCTGAACAGTTCCCAATTGTCTACACATTTTCAACACGCTGCATTTGAAATATTTCCGCATAATCTATTTAAATGATTGGCACATTTGTAACATTCCTACACATTTCAGAGACATTTCCAGTTTTTGTACACATTCTTTAATGTAAAACGTAAAATGTCTAGATAATGGATACATTTTTTTTTTAATTTTTAAAAATTTCTGCACTCTGAAACGCTTGTACAATTTTTTGCACATTTTTGATACATTTCCAAAATTTCCTACACCTTTTCTTCACAATTTAAAATTTCTAAAACATGTTCAACAAGTACCAATATCGATATGGATGCAAATTTAATTGATAGGTATATGTATTCAAAGATATTTCACAAGGATATGTTCTTTTTATATCAACACCCATAACAAAGAAATTCCAAAGAACGTTGAAAATATTTCCCCGTTAAATAGCATGACTGTGGTTTACTAATATAGCGTTTTTCATATTATTGGCAGCTTGCACGAAAACAACGTTATAGGAAAATTACTGTTATTTAGTTAAATTACAAACTTATCAAAAAATAGACTATTTGATTTTCTGATATTTTCTTGTATAATATACGCGTAAGTAGATTCTATAAATTGCATTATATTAGAGAATGAGTCATATACCTACCTACGTCTGATAACGTTGTAATAATAGCATTAATTGACTATTCTTATCACCGCCCCCCCACCCTCCTCTATTAGGAATGGAAATGATGATTAGACGCTTTTGTAAGTAGATTGTACGTTTGCCAAATTGATCTCAATTTCTTTACCGTTTTCACCCGTTTATATCACCCTTGCGATCAATATTTCAATTATAGCACCACAAAAACTCCTTAAACATACATGTACCACAGAGTCGAGAAATGCAAATAAAGTAATTAGGTATGCAACTCGGGTTTGCTTCGACGAAAGTATAGTGAAAGCCTGTAAACCTGAAACTAATTAGTTTGACCCGTTTGTATTAACGTTTAAGAAGGGAACAAAAAGCGTAATTATGTTGATGTTTTTACTTCGGAAGTCCCTAAGGAGAATCTAAGAAAAGGATTCCACCTCGGATTTCACTTAATTGTTTCGTTTTTACTTTGGGAGTAATTTGAAATGAATTTTATTAGTCGCGTATGAATTGAATGGTAGGAGGAAGTTTCCGAAACTTACACGCTTACACTCTTAACCCAATTCTAAACTATTGATATATTCGGGTCGCAAACTTTATTGTTTGATGTGGACGAACGGAAGTAATTTGGTAAAGTTAACAATCGATGACATTCTGCTATACTACCCTTTGTTTTAAGTATTCGTCGTCATAAATTCCCTTCATTACTTCTTTACGATGTGGACACAATCGCTGCTTGAAGGACTTTGTAAGTTCTTTAAGAATCGTACACAACAATAAAGCTTTTAATTGATGTTCACAAGCGCCATGAAATTTTTTATTTGTATTCCATTTGTTGGACGCAATCCTGTAGTTTATTGCCGTATTTTGCTTTGCTAAAGTTTGACCATTAACGGTATTTTGCAGGTATATGTTTGGAAACAACTTTCCAAATAACTGCGATACGGAAAAGTCTGGTTAGATAACTTCGTGGCATATCCAATTGCGCATTCCTTAGTTTTACATATTTCCGCAACAATGTTGCTCATTAAACATCATTCTCCAAAATGTGCCACATATTATTATTATGCCTCATTTCGCATTGATAGCGCGATTTCGTCTCTTTTAATAGGCATTATGCTACATCCTGAATGATTTTCAACATCCAAGTGGTTGTGATTTTTTAATGTTCAATTCTAAAAACAAATTCCCTATAATGGAAATTGAGATGTACAGCAAATCTCGAGAAGGGAGGGGGAATTGGCCACGGCTAGCCAGGTGAAACGGGTCTTCCAGTGAAACAACCACAGGGGTTGAACAAAGCTCATATAATTTTTGGCTGCCAGTCGTCCACAAATCACGCCAAAAACAAATAATAAAAGGTTTGTGAATCATGGGGTACTAGTGAGTAGAATGTACATATACACAAAATGTATTTAATTGCATACAACGGTACATACATTCTTCTATATTTGACGTAATCAACTGCAGAGCAATTCGTCACGACGGTAACAAACATCTACAGCATCGGAAACGGTGCGACAATAGCTAATACAGTTTACCTCCACTTGGGTAGCTGCTCCGATAGTTCACAAATTGCAGAACGTCTGATCGCAAATACCAAGTTTCAACTAAGCAGATTATACTATTATTATATATATATATTATATATTATTATAGATTGGTGAATTTGTTTTAGCATTTCATAAGAGAACGGTCCTTCATCGATGGGAGCCGTTAGTGCTCGAAACACGAAAGATACATCCAAAAACTTCAGTGCCAAAATCAGACCCAAATCCAAATAATTCAAATTTACGTACCCCATTAATAACTGGGTTTCGGATTGCGAAATAGATAATTAAATGGAAAGATATGGCATAATCTTAAAAGAAGCGTGTTAAAAAAAGAAGGAATCGTATGAAAATAAATTTACCTCAAGAGGATACGGCCATTTCCAATTCACATAAAGACGCTTAGATAATTAATTTCGTCGTGATGGTTCTAAAATTTTTCATTTCAGATATTAATATTGCAAATGTGATATTATCGCAACCCCCGGTATTAACTACTCCTAACACCCAAACCAAGAGTGCATTCAATGAAACAACGGGACGATACATGC